TCACCTGTGGTGGAAGCCCAGGTCGCCTCCTGGGCTGGAGACTATGCTCGGCAACCTTCTACACCCTGGTCAAATCAGTCGGGCCAGTATATATGGTGTCATGGCAGCCACGCGTCGGCATTGAGCCGGCGCTCCACTCGCGGCCCGCCGCAGTCACCTGCATGAGGCCCCAGCTACGCCAGCAGCAACCGAGGTGCCGGACCACGCTGCGCACGCCCCAATGGGCATTAAGCGCAGGCAACTGGACCGCCGGCGCCACGCGCAGCTACGCCACACGGAAAGAGGTAAACCACTGGAACGGGGCACCGACATCCACGACCGCCTCCTACAGGACAGTCACTCCAAGCAGGCCCCCTGCGCGGTCGAGGAGAGCAGCTTGGAGGCCGCCAAAGCCGAGGAGGCCGACGTCCACATCTTGGAGCCCAGCAGTGAGACGCAGCAGAGGATTGCGTGCCAGCTGGACCAGGCGCCGCAAACCAGCTCTCCGAGAAGTACGGGCGTTGGGCCATGGCAGCGGAAGTCCCCCTCCTGGGCCACCGGCTCTGAGGCCACCAGTGGCGCGATACGTCGGGGCCAGCCGCTAAGTTGCCAACTCGAGCAGCTCATCCGCCAGCCCGGCCCGACGTGCATCCAGTCAGGCCCCCAGCAGGCCCAGACCAACGCATGGTTCAGCTTGGCCAGCCAGCTCCAGATATTTTGCAAACGCAGCTTCTGTCGCAGAGATGCACGCGCTAGTTCAGCGCCCCCTTCAATTTCTACCAGCTCAGCTTCGGGCACCTCAGGCAGCATGCCCACCCCGCCTGAGATGGCCGAGATGCCCCAGGGGTCGCAGCACGCGGTAGGGGCCCTGTCGCGCAGAGCGCCGCTGGAGGCAAGCTCGCCCGATGGGGGGGGGGGGGGGCGGGGCCCGCGCAGTCTCTACCAGCGGCAAATCCTCGGAGGAAGGGAAGACCAGTGCCGCGCAAATTCCAGCGGCGCCCAGCGGTTTGATTTCGCGCAGCCCCTCGCCTTCAATTGGGCCTTCCTCGGTGACTGGTGGGCCTACTGCAATTTCAGCCAGAGCGATTGCTTCGATTTCGGCCACGCCTTCCACCCCAATGACAGAGGGAGCTCACCGACCTCATCAACGACTGCGGCGCCAACCTTTCCTGGCCTCGCCAGCTCGTGCAGATGTGGATATGCCTCCTGGCTAAGGGCGTCGCCATATCCGCGGGCGACGAGCGACCGATCGGGCTGCGCCCAATGCCAACGATATTCTAGGGCCGCATGACCATCCGCATGCTAGGCCAGTGGTACGAAGACAAAGCAGGCTCCTGGGGCGCAGCCAGCAGAGGATCGTCACCCCTCCAAGCATCCCCGAGCACATTCGTACAATATGAAGTCTCAGCAGTGCGGAGCGACACCAGCGTGGCCACACTGTATTTATATACCATGAAATTATACGGCCACGTCAACATGGCCAACTTATGCCGTCTAGCGACCAACATATAATATTCACCATCGTACCCTACATGTCTTGTCTGCTCTACCTGGGCGCCCGCGCGTGATCCGCGCCGAAGACATCTACAGCTCCACCATGATCGTGCCCCGCTATGGGTTGCTGGCAGGATGCGTCGAAGCCAACAACGTGGCCCGCGCGTGCATCTACGACCTGCTCGACCACGTCCACCACTGCTACACTGTCATCGTGATGCGGGATTTCGTCGACGATCTCATGATTCGAGCAGAAGGGCACACCTCCCTCGCTAGGCACCAGATGAGCCACTGGGCCTCCGCCCTTGTCCAGGGCATTCATGACCTAGGCCTCGAAGTCTCACGGGAGACGGCGGCGATAGGGCCCCCTGACATTCGTCGGGCGGTCATCGCCGCTATTGGCCAGAGGGGCGCGCTCACCAAGGCAACCACCACTGCGCGCGACTTGGGTTTCGATGCCGCAGCAGGCCGCCAACAACAGGCCCCGGCTGCCACCGAGAGAGCCAAGGTCACGTTGCATCGTTACACGCGCACCCGCTTTTTCCAGCGGCGCGGAGTTGGACGACGCGATATTGGGCGACCCTACGCCACCAACCTGCGGGCCAAGCGCATCTACGTCGCAGCAGAGATGAACTTAACCGCCACGAGAGTTAAGATGAAGCGAGCGACTGTAGCCTCCGCGGCAGGATTTTTCGCCCACGGCAGCAGAAGCACCTCCACCGTCGTGTTCCACATCTACGACAAGCAGGGCCCAGTCTCCTACAACCTACGACGGCATATTAAAGAGTGGATCACATCCGGGGAACAGAATCCGCAGTGCCACGCGCGTGCACGACTGGGATGGCAGGCTGTTTACGCCAAGATGGCCACCAAGAAGGCGCGCTTCAAGTGGAAGCCGGTCACAGCCCCCATGGGCGCCCCCATCGTTGGTCTCGGAGAGTTGAACGGACCCCTGCGCCGACCCAGCCGCTGGACCGACCCGGCGGCCACGACGGGGTCTTCAGCCCAGGGGGCACCGATTTCAACGGATTGCATCAAGCGGCGCGCCAGCATATACAAGCAGGACAATGGCAACAGGCAGGTCGACATCCCGAAGGACATGGATGTGAACAGGGGGGCAGCTGCAGGCAGCGCGGAAAACGTTTACGATGGACGCGACGTAAATCATATTTCCAGGAAGCAGGTGCCTACGATGACGCCGTGACGGGAAGCTGCTGGACTGAGCAGCGCGCGCAGGAGGCAGGCTACGACAGCGCAGGCCTCTGCCAGCGCTGTGGACCGGCTGCAGAAGACTTGCGGCGCCGCTGCTACGCCTGCCCAAAAAACAATGACATCGAGCACCCGTGGGTCCAGAGCCCCCAGGATTTGGTCGAGAGGGCGAAACGATCCATGGACGAGGAACCCGACGCGTGCATGTTTCGGTGCCGCGGAATCCTCCCTGCCAGGCTACATGAAGTACCCCCGGGATCAGATTGGAGCACGCCTTGGGAAATTTTCTACGTGGACCTCGCAGAGGCAGGACCTGTCTTCGAGTCGCGCAGCAGCATGCCAGGTGAGGCCTCAACGGCTTCAAGGGCCTACTTCGATGGCTCGGTCAACTCGGCAGACCCTCGGATCGCTCGTGGAGGTTGGGGGGTGGCCTTGGACTTGACCGATGCACCAGTTTTGACAGCTTCCCAGCTCGGTGCACAGACGGTTCCTTGCTCGGAGGTCGCGGCCCTTTACTACTTCCTCCTCCTCACCCAGGGTCCCCTCGAGATCTGGACGGACAACGCCCTCGCACGCAGAGGGTGGCATTCGCGGCAGTGGCTGTGCCCGCGGGGGCCCATATGCAATGGTGGCAACGCATTGGGCAGGCAATCGCACAGAAACGACAGCATCGCGCGCGTGACCTTGAGGAAGTGCACCTCCCATCTAGTCGCAGTGAGCCTGGCGATGAGTCTCCAGCCCTGGCGCGTTTCCCTCGGCAATGAAGGAGCTGACGACATAGCCCAGAGAGGCCTCGCGAAAGCTATGAATGGAATCCAGCCCCAAGTGGACGGCCTCCAAGGGTTGGGATTATTTGGCGAAAGGTCCAGAAGCGACTCGCGGCCATCGCCATGGAAGTTTTTGCACAGTCCCGTGAGCCACGCCAGCGACTTGTCCCAGCGCGAGGAGGCGCCAACATAACCACCCCTCGCAGGGCGCTCGGACGTGCGTCGGGCCACTGTACGCAGCGGCATCCCAACGACAAGAAACGCTGGTTCTGTTTCCACTGCAGCCTCGGCCCATCCCGAGAATCTGTGGAGGATTGGATGAAGAACAACCCTTGTCGTGGTAGAGTGTTTGTTTCCGTTTACAATACTGCCACCCCCATTTCCCAGGGAGCCGACCCCCATCTGAAAGTGGGGGGCGCAGTGCCCCACCAGAGCCATTCGCTTTCTGTGATGAGGGGCCAGCTCTGGTGTTCAACGTGCGCTAGGCTGGGAAGTTGCACGGCAACGGGGGGTGGCAAGTTGCATCAGTTCCTTGCCTCCTGTCCAGAGGGACTTGGATCGAATAGTGGCAGGGAGGCCATTCGCATAATTCGGAACTGCCAACCACCCAGTTGGGGGGCCAAGAGCTGGCCCACTGGTGACCCCATTCGCCCCCTAAAGTCCCACGTTGTGAATCGGGCCATCCCAGTAATGTCAGGCTCGGTCACAAGGGGCGCGCCGTGTCATTGCCACGACCGCGTTCCCTTGACAGGCTTGTCCTCCTCCTCCTCCTCCTTCTCCTCCTCCATTTCCTCCTCCCCCTCCCCCTGTTCCGCTTCCTCCTCCTCCTCCCCTTCCCCCTCCCCCTCCTCCTCCTCCTCGGGTCGCCTACGGCCCTGGGGGCCACCGTGCAAGACCAATACTAGTCCTGAGTAGTATTTGGACGGTCCCAGGGCACGTGTAGGGCCCTTGGCTTGACAGCGGCCAGAAGCTTCCAGGACCCGTTGCCCCCCAGGGCCCGCTTCCCTCATGCTGAAGAGTCTGCCCACGCGCAATGTGATTTTTTCGGCGCGAGGCCCCGGAGGTCTTGTCCCGACCCCATTCCCCAGGAGACATGTGCTCGCCTTCGGGTCATGTCTGGCTGCCACTGAGCTCGACAACGGGCCCCGCATGCCGGAGCCGAGGAAAAACGCCATGACTGACAGAAACACATACACGTCATCGGAGATCGGCGGCGTGGGGGGGAAGTGAGGAGGGGCGGGCCTTCTCAAAAGGCTCGGAAGGCCCTCGGCAGTCTGAGAAGTTTTCCAAGCCTTCCCCGAGGACGCAGAAAACTTCTCAGAGAGGGCTTCTGGGAAATCTCGCCGCCGTCTGAGGAGGCCTTCTCCTCCTGATTTCCCCCCCCTCGCTCGCCGCCAGGGAGATCTCGGCGCCTCTTCCTTTTGAGTGTTCTGTCCCCTGGGAGCTCCTCCAGCACGCTGGGCCTTTTCGGCGGGCCGGGCCCGCCAGCCTCGGAGAAACCGCACGGGGTGGCTCCGCTGGAGAGCGGCGCGGCGCTCTCTCTCTCGGCAGGTGTGCGGGAGGCTGCTGGAGCTCAAGGGGCAGAAGAGGGACAACGGCAAGAGCGCCTACTGCAGGACCCTGCTTCCCAAGATCTCCGATTCTCCGTTTTTTTTCAGTCCGGGCGTTTTTGCTTGGTTTCGGCGCCCAGAGCCCGTGATCCGCGGGACAATCAGACATGGTCCCAGAGCGAAAGCGTGTCCCAGGGGAACGGGTCGGGACTTGTGGGGCCGTGTATTGAAATAGTCAGATCCTCGGATGTATGGGTCCTTTTTCTGTCAGGCTGTCTCACTTGTTTCATTTTCTCTGACAGGCTCACGATCTCTCTCTCTCTCTCTCTCTCTCTCTCTCTCATGTTTCACGATCGCTCTTGTTTCACGATCGCTCAGCTGCGCATTGGAGTGACAAGCTCAGGGGGTGACAGGCTTGTAGCATCGTGCTGGCGCTGGAGAGAAAAAAGGCGGAGCCTACCTTTTCCCCCTCCCGCGATTGCGAGCGATGCGTGGGCCCAGATTTTCCACGACGAGTGGATTTTGTTCAATCGGGGAGGTTTTCATCGATTTTGCCCTCTGGGGCTCGTTCTCGGGCCCACCTGGGATGGTTGAAAATCCATCCAGGACGAAAAGCTGCCCCTGGCTAGGGACTGTGTCGGGACCTCCCTGGGGCCGCGCATTGCAGAAATCACATCGCCAGAAGTCTGTGAGCGTGTGGGGGGCGACTGGGCAGGTAACGTCACGACTTGCGCTGGCGCCGTCAGGGAACTGGCTACCCCCATGCATTCCTGGACATGGCGCCAGCGCCCGTTGGCGAGGGGGAGAGGGAGAAGGTTGGAGATAGTTGTGGGCGTCGTCCCGAATAGTCTGCCCTGAGTTCCGACGTTGCGAAACAAGTGCAACACCGCGAAGAATCATTACCAGAGCCCCAGACCAAGTCTTTCTGCGGCATTTGTGGAGCCGGATCGACCTGTGATGGTCCCGAGCGCCGAAACCGGGCGAAAACGCCTGGCGCGAGAAGATTGCAGCGCCCGGGTCTCAGGGCGAATAGTTGCGAAACGAGTTCCAGGCGGGTGCAGTTCCAGATATTGGACCTCCTGGAGACGCGCGCGGCGGGCTGGTCGAAGAAGTCCTTCAAGACGAGCGCGAAGACCAAGGACGAGATCCGCCAGGAGGGGCCGGCGGCGGGGCGCCTCTTGCGCTGGGCAGCGTGAGCAAGTTGAGGAGGAGGACGGGGAAGAGGACCAGTGCACACCCAATACGCATCAACGATGTTGCAAAATCTCCCCCAAGTTTCCTGTCGATTGGTCTCTACAAGGTTTTGTGTTCATCGCAGGAAGTGGCTCACTGAAGGACAACCGTTGGACGAACAAGAACAACACAAATGATGCTTTTCCCTCAGGCTCCCAGAAGGGGAGGTGCCTCGCCAGGACAAGAACAAGACAATCAAACAACATTTTTACATCAAATAATCAATAACATTGGGCACACTCAATTTGCATAATTATTCAGCCGCCTGCGCCAAGTCCTGCCACCGTGCCAGCCCAGCGTTCTGGGTGGCGACACTGTTCGAGGGTGGGAGAAGCGTGTTGAGGATGAGAACGATGGTCATGATGCTGATGATGACGACGACGATGACGATGCTGATGACGATTATGATGATGTTGATAATTATGATGGTGATGCTGATGGTGATGCTGATGCTGATGATACTAAAACGGATAATGATGGTCTTTTCTATTAAAATTGAATGCCTTTAGAGGGGGGAAGAGAGGCCGAAGCTTGCTTTCCGTAGCCTTCGGCTGTCGAGCTTGTATGGCTTGGTTGGGCCTCCCAGTGGGCTTGCTCAGGGCGGTGGATCGCTGGGGCGTTCCCGCGCTGCAGGCCTGGGTGTCTCGCTGCCCCGCCGTCGACGTGCCGCCGTGCCCTGCGTGCCCAGCCTGCCCGCCGTGCCCTGGGGCTACCGTGGGGGCGACCGCGGGCGCGGTCTCGCTGGCTTGCCTGGCGGCGGGCGTCGCCGGGGCGGCCCTCGACGCGCTGGCCGCCATCAGGGTGCTGCGGATCTGGGGTCCGCTGCGCTTCTCGGCGGAGGCTCGGGGCTCGGAGGCGCCCGTGGGAGAGCGGGTGGCCGAGGCTCCGGGCAGGTCGCACTCGCGTTTGGTGATCTCGGGGGCTGGCGATGGCGGAAGCATGGGCCAGCATGGGCATGGGTGCTGTACAACGTGGGCGGCGCGCCGCTCTTCCACCAGAGGACGGTGGTGGGCCAACTGGCACTCACGGGCGACGTCCTCATCGTGACGCCCGACGACATGGTGTACACCGAGCGGTTCCTGGCGGCGGGGCCCGACGTGGCGGCGGTGCGGTTCTCGGCGACGCGCTGGCCGCCTCCGCCTGGGATCGCGCCCGAGGCCGCGTACAGGTTCGGGCGTGCCCCGTCGGCCGCCCACGAGGCCGCGTGGCTCGCCGCCGCCACGGCCGAGGCGGATGCCGAGTTCGCCCGCGGGGTGCCCGTCTCGATA